GAACAAAGCTACGTGGATCTCACCGGACCACACCACAGAGAACCAGATAGATCACATTTGCATCAATAAAAAGTTCCGAAGGACAATGGAAAATGTGAAAACCAGGAGAGGAGCGGACATAGCTTCAGATCATCACCTGGTTGTGGCCAAACTGAAACTGAAGCTAAAGAAGAACTGGACAAACAGCACCACAAAGGTTCAATACAGCCTTCCTTCGAGATACTGACAAACTCAATGAATTCAAGGTAGCTCTCAACAACAGGTTCCAAGCTGTTATGACCTTGATTTGTCTACCCACTTTTTGGTGCCGAGGATACTTGTCTAATCTAGATTTCGACCTTGATGCGATAGGCTGATCAGCTTAACCTTGAGACTAGTACGCGTGAGTTCGAGATGGGGTAGAGAGAAGAAAACTATTCTGTCACCTGATTGGTGGGCAAGCACACGGATGAGAGAAGACAAGACAACTGGAACACTACTCGATCTATTTCCCTGACCACTGAACTCACTGGATTTACTGAATTCACTGAATTCAGATTAGTGTAAAAAGGTACATGAATAAATAAGTGAATAACCCGACCGCAACGTACAATAATTAGGAAAAATACAATTATGTCCAAAGCTGGGAATTAGAGTAGAAAATAGGGTGCAAAATAATATGTTTAAATTACAATAGCTTCGGAACAGAAAAAGGTATGGCAGTGAATGATACATCGAACGAAAGCTTATGTTCTGTAGAATAGATTAGGACAAAAATAAATGTTAGTGTGTTTTACAAGCTTTGAATAAAATGAAATAACGTCCCGAAAAATAGCCTTCGTAGTTTGTCAGGGCTTCTTGTTTCCCGGTTCACATCATCTTCCCCCTTGACAAAAAAAAGTGTTATAACTGCCATTCAACTGAGTGCATAAGTGAAAACGGTTTACGTTGCGATCCGTGTAAGCGTGACTAATTTGACCAACTGGAATAAATAAAAAAAAGAAAAATGATTAGTCACTATTTACAAGTAATAGTTAAGATATCATCATTGATATCTCCCCTCAGAAACGTATGCTCTTTTCTTTGGGTCCACTTGTAGAACATCTGGTCTTCTGCGTTTTCGTAACGATCTCCTAATAGGATCTTGTTCCGGATGCACAGTTTTGTGAGTCGTTGAACTTTTAATATCGAAACTGTCCAAGAAGATTTGCCACATTGAACTCAGTTTCTTGGTTTTCTGTGCAGTACCAGAATTTTCCAGTATGTGGTTAACATGACGTGTCCACTTTTGACCTTCAACTTCCACCACATACACTACATTTCCCCGTCTCCTAAGTATGCGTCCACTAGTCCATTGTGGAGGTGAGTATCTGAAATCACGGACGTATACTGTTTGGTTGTTTTGGAAGATTCTATTTTTCGCCCCATGATGGCGATTAAATTGGATTTCCATCTTTCGGTTTCTCCTTCCTATGAGATTTCGCTCTGGTTTTATTGCATCGAGAGCAGTTTTAACTTTTCTGCCAAACATAATTTCTGCTGGAGACATTTGATTTGGTGCTGACGGGTTTGGAGTTGTTCTGTAGACAAATAGAAAATCATTAAGAATTTCCTTTATCTTCCCCTCCCCTTTTGCCTTCAGTAGCGCTCTCTTGAAGGTATCCACAAACCTTTCGGCTTGACCATTCGATTGTGGATGATATGGAGGTGAACGAACATGATTGACTCCAAATCTCTTGCAGAAATCTGAGAAGATGGACGAAGTAAACTGAGTGCCGTTATCCGACACAAGGATATTTGGGACTCCAAAACGGGAGAATAACTGCCGTAATTCCATAATAGTGTCTTGCGAAGTGACCTGGTTCATAGGGATAACCTCCGGCCATTTTGAGTAAGCATCGACACAAATGAGGAAATATGAACCCTGGAATGGACCAGCAAAATCAATATGTACACGCGACCAAGGTTCTTTTGGAGATGGCCAAGAATACAGTTCAGCTTTTCGTGGACATTTGGAAACCGTAGCACATTTTCTGCACGCACGCGCGAAATCTTCGATGTGTTCATCGATGTTAGGCCAGTATACATAACTTCGAGCAATAGCTTTCATTCTTCCAGTACCTGGATGGGCTGTGTGCAATTTTTGCAAGACGATTGAGCGTAAGTTATTTGGAACCACTACGCGATCAGTAAGCATAATACAGTCATTTACGATGGATAAAGATTGGCGTCGTTGGTAATACTGTTTCAGTTCATGAGATGTTATACGTGGGGGCCAACCACGCTGGATAAATGTAGCTAGTTGTCTTAAGATAGGATCGCGGCGAATGTGATATGCGATTTGAGCAGCTGTCACTGGGAGAATTTGTGTTGAATTTAACAACATTCTGTTTACGTCTTCTTCCACTGATATAGAAGCGATAACAGTATCTTCATTTTCAAGCTTATGATCACTCATTAAGCGCGATAATGCATCAGCATGACCAAAGTCAGAGGTAGATTTGTATTTGATAGCGAAATCATAACCTAATAGCATTGTAGCCCATCGTTGGAGGCGGTTTGCGGTATAAACTGGTATGCCTTTCTTAGATCCAAAAATTGATAATAGGGGTTTATGATCAGTGAATAAGGTAAATTTTCTACCATGCAGCATTTTGTGAAACTTTTTAACTGCAAAAATTAATGCCAAACCTTCTTTCTCAATTTGACTGTACTTGCGTTCTGCCGAAGTTAATGTTCTGGAAGCATGTGCGATAGCTTTCTCTTTGCCATCTGGAAACCTATGGGATATGACGGCACCGATACCATAGTCAGAAGCGTCTGCGGCAACAACGATTTCCAGCGAGGGATCAAAATATGTAAGGAGTAGATCCGATGTTAATAATGACTTTACTTTGTCAAAACATTTTTGGCACTTACTGGACCAGTCCCATCTTACATTATTGGATAATAATTGGTTCATGGGTGCTCGGAGGCGATGCAATTGTGGCAAAAAGTTACTGTAATAACTGATAAGACCAAGGAATAAACTCAGAGTTGCTACATTAGATGGAGGTGGCATATTTTGGATAGCTCGTACATTTTCCGGATCTGGGCGTCGTCCATTTTTATCGAAAACAAAACCAAGATATTTCACAGAGTCCATGAAAAATGTACACTTCTCTTCTTTTAGGTAGAATCCATACTCAGATATTTTGGTTAAAACAGCATCGAGTCGATCGAATAACTCGGACTTACTGGAACCTGTAACGATTACGTCATCCAAATAGACAGCGACTCCTGGCAAATTTGCCAACATAGTGTCCATTATTTGTTGAAAAATAGCTGGTGCTGGTTTTACACCAAAAGGTAAACGCTTATATTGGTAAAGGCCTCTGTGAGTGTTAATCGTCAGTAGTGGTTGGGAGGCTGGATCAACTGCTATTTGGAGATATGCATCAGCAAGGTCAATCTTAGCAAAATACTTTCCTCCATTTAGTTTGATGAATAAATCTTCCTGTATGGGAAGTGGATACGTGTGATCTTCTAGGGCATTATTCAGACCAGTGGAAAAGTCAGCACATATGCGAACAGTCCCATTTGCCTTTTTCACGACCACTATGGGGGCAGCCCACGGTGAATAATTTACTGGCTGGATGACACCTAGCGCTTCTAATCTGTCCAGTTCCTGGTCAACGACTGGCAGAGCAGCATAAGGCACTGGTCGTTTCGGTCTGAAAATTGGCTTTGCATTTTGCTTCAGTGACAAGGATACTTTGGTGAACTTACAACAGCCCAGTTTGTTTTGAAATACACCTGCATGCTTTTGTCGCAGATGATTTATGCGAGATGTGGACGACATTTGAGAAGAAACAGAAGACTTTGTTGTGGACATAACACTGGCACAAATTACATGAGGTTCTGAAGTTTTACGCGAGCATACTTTGTCTGAGGTATTTGATTTGGAATCATTGTGAGAACATATTAAATCGGAGGTATTCGATTTAACATCATCATGAGAACACATTACATTGGAAGCATTTGATTCAGAAAGATTATGAGAGTATGTTTCATCAGAAGCATTTAATTCATGAATATCAAGAGAACATGATACATCGGAGGCATTTGATTTAGAAATATCATCAGGAATTTTGATAGACTCAGAGGAAGCATTTTGAGAACATACCTCATTTAATAATTTATTCAAGGTATCAACCTTCTCAATCCAGTCTTACTCACTTACTTACTTACGCCTGTTACCCCCAATGGAGCATAGGCCGCCGACCAGCATTCTCCAACCCACTCTGTCCTGGGCCTTCTTTTCAAGTTCCATCCATTCGACCTTGATGATTCCATATGAGGGCTTGTCTTGTGACGCAGTTCGGTGCTTTCCTCAATGTGTGTCCTATCTCAATCCAGTCTAATCCTAATAAATCTAAATCGTGCCGATTTGTAAGATAACAGACATCGGTGAACTTATGTCCCATGAATTTAACGTTGCATGTGACTTCTCCTGTCAACTTCACTATATCTCCTGAAGCATTGCGAGCAACATGTTCTGTTGGTCGGATGCGTGGACGTCCCAGCTTACGCCATGTGTTTTTGGAAATCAGTGTAACATCAGAAGCCGTGTCCAATTGAAGACGTATGGGTTTTTCATTCACTAATAAGTTTACGTACTTCCGCTTACTTTGAAAACCAACTTTGAAGGCTGCGAACGTGCTTTTAATTTGACTCTGTGGTGGTTGCTTCGCATTTCCACTATGACATTTAGACTTACGTTTATTCGATGAGCAATGATCTTCTTTATGACCAATGCGATGACATTTGCGGCATTTGTGATTCTTGAACGGACATAGTTTCGCAAAATGCCATGCTCCGCAGAACCAACATGGTGATGGGGGTTTGACAGAAGGTAGTTGTGTGGTTGTAGTGTTCTGTTTGGACGATGTCGAGGATCTGAGAGCATTAATTGAACCAAAATCGAAAGGTTTAGCCTTCTGTTGCACCATCGCGGTATCATGCTTGAGATTTATCAACCTCTGACACTCGGTTGTGACCATTTGTAGTGTCATATTCGGTTCCTGTTCAATGCGTGCTAACATCCTGGTACGGACATCTGCATCTTCTGCATTCTTTAAACCACATATAAAAATCAAGCATTTGAATTGGTCAGCTGTAATCTCGTTTATTTTGAACAGTTCGCATTCTCGATTTACTTTCCCAGCATATGTGAGATAATCATCATCTGGGGATTTCGATATTTGGAAACATCGATAGCGAGTATTAAATAATAAAGATTGTTCGCCGAAAATGTCAGATAAAATTTGAACTGTCTCTTTGAAAGATACATCTCGTGGATTTCGTGGCAGGATGAAATTCACATATTTGTTGTATTCACGTGTTCCGAGTCTTCTCAGGAGTAGGCGAACTTTAGCTGCGTCATCAAGATTTGAGCATTCCACACGGAATATGTCTTCGCAACGATGAAACCAGGAATTGAAAATGATACCAGATTCAGGATCATAATGGAATTCACAAATAGAATTTGTGATGCATTCATACTCATCTGATTGATAAGTTGTGGATGAATGTAATGACAGCTTCTGCATCAGTGCATCTAAAAGCTTCATTTGATTTGCATCATTTTGCGCTTGCTGAATTTGTAGAATAGTTTTAAGGTCGTCCAAGGATACAGACATTTTGTTCTGGATCAATCAATATAGAAAAAATCTCCGTCGCCACTTTGTTATGACCTTGATTTGTCTACCCACTTTTTGGTGCCGAGGATACTTGTCTAATCTAGATTTCGACCTTGATGCGATAGGCTGATCAGCTTAACCTTGAGACTAGTACGCGTGAGTTCGAGATGGAATAGAGAGAAGAAAACTATTCTGTCACCTGATTGGTGGGCAAGCACACGAATGAGAGAAGACAAGACAACTGGAACACTACTCGATCTATTTCCCTGACCACTGAACTCACTGGATTTACTGAATTCACTGGATTTACTGAATTCACTGGATCTACTGAATTCAGATTAGTGTAAAAAGGTACATGAATAAATAAGTGAATAACCCGACCGCAACGTACAATAATTAGGAAAAATACAATTATGTCCAAAGCTGGGAATTAGAGTAGAAAATCGTGTGCAAAATAATATGTTTAAATTACAATAGCTTCGGAACAGAAAAAGGTATGGCAGTGAATGATACATCGAACGAAAGCTTATGTTCTGTAGAATAGATTAGGGACAAAAATAAATGTCAGTGTTTTACAAGCTTTGAATAAAATGAAATAACGTTCCGAAAAATAGCCTTCGTAGTTTGTCAGGGCTTCTTGTTTCCCGGTTCACATCAAGGTGTAAGAAAGATTTGAATGTGACCAACTTTGTCTCGTGTGCTGTTACGGGTATGAGAGTTGATATCACTTCCCGGCTGCCCACACCGTGGAAGGGTATTTCTTGAAGAATCTGAAAAAGAAAGTCGGATTAGTGTTGGTCTTAACGACCTGGAGCGTGACCGCCGAGCCTAAGGGATACTACTAATACTAGGAGTACCATTAATTCTACTAACATTACTAATAATACTCAGGCTATTAATACTATTATTACTACTAATAATACTACAAATATTACTTATAATAATATTATTAACACTACTACCACTACCACTACAACTAATAATACTAATACTAATTATCTTAATAACACTACTAATACTAATCATACTACAGATTCTGAAAATACTACTGCTAACACTTCTAATAATATTAAGACTGTTATGATTTGATGTCCGGCTTACGATCACGTGACTTATACACCAATCAGAATACGGCTTATACGAATATTCGCACTATGACAAGGCCAATGACGTTCAACCGGTCTGAGCAGTCTAGCGTCCTATTGGGTCCTACGTCCTTCTAACCCGTCCTCTTGAGTCCAGAACACAAAAGCAGCTTCCGAATCAACCAAATCGAACCAAATCATTTATTTCAGACATACTCGGTTTATATATCAATCAGGCAGACCACAACGTACCATAAAATAGAAACTATAACAAAGACTACTAATAATACTCACACTACTAATAACACCGATACTACTTATACTACTACAAATATTATTATTACTACTAATACTAATAATACTACGAATACTATTACTAACAATACTATTACTTCTAATACTTCATTCACTACTACCAAGGCTACTACCGAAATTAACAATACTACTAATAATACTAACGTCATTATTACTACTACTAACATCAATATTACTTCTAATACTAATAAAACTACGATTACTACTACTAACACGACCAATACTACTATTGATACTGCTACTAATGTCACTAATACCAATACTACTACTAATACTGGTACTGCACCTAATACTACCAACGCTACTATTATCACTATTAACACTGATAAAACTACTAGTAGTACTAATACTACTACTAATACTATCATTGATTCTAATAAAACCAATACCATTATCCCTTCTGCTTCTACTAATTTTATTACGACTACTACTAGTACTAATACTACTAATACTTCTCATATTACTAATACTACGAATACTAATCATAATACTACTAACACTACTAATACTATTATTACCACGAATATTATTAATACTATTATTGGTAATAATACGACTAAGACTATTGATAATAATACTCGTATTACTACTACTACTACTACTAATACTAATTTTACTAGTACGACTCCTAATACGAATACTATCAGTACTCCTTATGCCACTAATACTGCCAATACTAGTAATATTACTACTAATGTTATTGTTGATACTAATAATACTAGCACTACATATACTACTAAAACTACCAACATTGCTAATAATACCTATTATATCACTAATATTACTTAAACTAAAAAAATACTTTTATTACTACATATAGAACTACTAATGATACTAATACCAATATCACTAATTCTAATATAACTGATACTACTAATACGACTAACACTACTGATATTTTTATTATTATCGATACTCCTTCTATTACTAACATTACCAATACTAATAATACTCCTAATAGCGCCAATACAACTCATAATACGAATACTATTCTTACTATTATTACTACTGATAATACTAATCACATTACTCGTACTACTAATATTGCTAATAATACTAATACCACTATTACTATTATCACCAATAACAATACTCATTCTACTAATACTACTAATAATGCTACTAACACTACTGATACTAATAATACAACAAATGCCACTAATACTACTAATAACACTAGAAATACTATTCATACTACTTATACTATTAATACTACTGCTGACACTAATAATGCTTCCAATGCTAATAATATGATTATTCCTTCCAATAGAAATAATACTAGCGATATTATTATTACTGGTAGTGCTATTTATACTACTAATATTATTAATACTACCAATACTACTACAAACACTATTATTGCTACTAATACTACTTATGCCACCACTAACAGTACTAGTATTACTCATAGTATTACTAATACAACTAACCCCATTAATACTACTGTGGTGAGCGCTACTTATATTGATATAATAAGTAGTATATAACGCGAGTTAAAAACGTAATGGCTGGCAGCAGAATATGGAAAAAGATCAAGAAACAAAGAGCGGAAACGCAATGGAATTTGTATGAAAACTTATGAACAATGAAATGTCAGTCAAGCGATTGATATTTGGAACAGAAACAGTGTAGTTTGATATGAAGGATCGATATTTTGCAAATTAACGTTTTAATATATGGTTTTTCTATTTTACAAATTATCTCTGTAATTTGAGCGACATACAGTTCGGTTGTCCTCACCAGCGTTCTTCTTCACTACACTACTACTACTACTACTACCAATACTTTTGCTAACACTAATAACACTATTAATAAAATTAATTCTATTATTACTATCAATACTACAAGTGCTGTTAATAGTACTAATAATACTA